ATTCATACAAAGCTCTAGAGTGCTTCTTTCCTGTCTTAAATGTAATGAGGAATTGTTCCAACCACAAAAAGTCTGATCTCGAAAGACATTTTCACGGGAAGCACAGCGCCTTCGTTGAGAAGTATCCAGCTGGAGATGCCAGCTGAAATCAAGTAACACAACTGCAGCCAGTTTTGTGAGAAGCCAATAGATAATAATACAAGGGAAGCCGTTTACAGATGGTGAATACACGAAGCGTTGTTTCATTAAAGCATCAGAGCATCTGTTCAGTGATTTCAAAACAAAGACGAAATAATTAAGAAAATTGGGGACCTGCTATTGTCCACACATTAAAGCTGGCCGAAGATATTACCAGTAGGCAAATTGAGGACATTAATATATTCAGCCCAGGACTTTTCTATTGCAAGTTGTCCTTGGCAGCTTCAAGAGCAGCTCATTGAAACATTATTTTTGTTGCGACTGGTGGTACACCGAGTATGATAGAGACGTAAAAGGCTTTTATTTATCTATTAAAAAAAGAAAAAAAAGATTCTCTGCAACATTCATCAAGAGGTACGGTTTGTACAGTCTTTCCCACCAGAGTTCACATAAGTAGTGAAAATGGTTAAATAAAATAATAGCAAAAGGCTTAAACCAGAGACAGTTTCGCGAACTTCTGGAAGACGTTGATTGTCAGTACAGTGTTCAGATCTTCACCTTCACTACAGTCCCATGGCTTTCTAGGTGACGGCTGCTTCAACGTTATGCAGTTGTATAAGGTGGTAGAAGTGTTTTACACTTTCGCAATTTACATTTATTTATTTATTTTTTTACACTGCGGCTCAAGAAGCACTGCCTTTTCTACAAGATTTGAAGATTTGGGCTCTTGGATTTTAGGTTGCCGATCTCTTGGTTAGATTGGTTGCATAAGTTAACAGTTTGGGTAGGTTAATTTCGCATACTAGATTAGTAGGTTGTTTAGATTAGACACTTTGTATGTATATTTGTTTTGGTTAAATAAGCTTAGTTGGTTAGGTTAGGTTCATTTAAATTGTTTATTTAGCTTAGCTTGGCTGGTTAGGTTAGATTAAATAGGCTTGGTTAGTTAGATTAAGTTACAGCTTGGTTAGGTTAAGTGTGGTGGTGGTGTGCTAAGCTCCTGGGCCCTCACACTTTCAGTAGTATTGCTTGGTTACTGGTGAAGGTGTACGTATTCTTAGCAGCCTCCACACTGCCAGTTGGGCCTCGTCGCTATGTAGCCAAGTAGTCACCGTGTTGCAATCCCCCGCGTTGCAGCTTCCTCAGTGTTGCTACTTCTGTGAGCACTTTTCATACTATATTCACTTTTATTCACTGGTATTCGTAATTATATTGATATTTGTAATAATATTAAGTGTGATAATAGAGGAACTACAGTATATTCTGAAGTATATGGTTAATAACGTTACCGGTACCGGGTAGTGATAATATTAATTTTGGAACTTTATTCACAAGTATAAATGAAAATAAATTTATTACCAGCAATGGAAATCATGTTAATTCTGGAAATTTATCAAGGAAAATAATAAAATGCAAAAAATATTACCATTAGTAATAGTCGTAGTGATAAAAATACTGATGACTTATGATCAAGAAATGAAATTTACCCAGAAGTATGAACATTATAATATTACGTTTCATTATAATAATTTTAAAAAACCTTTACTCACAAAAACAAGTTTAGAGTAATTCCTACCTTGAAGGCGCCTTGGCCTGGGGATAAAGGGAAACGTAACCGAAATACAACTTGTCAATAATAAGTGATTTTAGTGGTAATGATTAGTCACTAGAGAAAGTTACCTTAGCTATTCCGGTTGATATTTAATGGGGGGGGGGGGTGTTTGTAGGTTTGAGTTGGTAAGGTGATACCCAACGAACGAGGGAGGATAGCGCTGCTGGGTATTTCTGTTGATCATTATGAAGTGTGTGTGGTGGTGGGGGGGTGACGAGGTTGTGGCCGCACCAAAATAGTTGTGTGGAGGGGAGGGGGAGGGTGGCGCCGACTGAAGTCACACACCAACCATTTTCACTACCCCCCCATCATTCTCACACCACCACACTACAGTCTGCACCACCGCCATACATTCATCATCACTACCACACCACAGCCAATACCTCCACCACTATACCACAGCCTGCACCACCATACATTCATCATTACCATACCACAGCCTTCACCACCACCGTAGTATATAATCTTCACCACTTTCTTTAATGCTTTATATTAAACGAGAATATACATGGTGTGTAGCCTATTCATAAAAATTTCTTTATTAATGTATGTTTGATTTCTAAGTTGACATTAGCGTTATTGTGGATCTTTCCAAATATACTTGGTTCACGTTCCTCTGTTTTTATGACTACCGTACTGCTTCTCCCTTCCCTAGTATTACGTATAATTTTAGTCATGAAGCTTACACTTGCTTGACTCGTTGGTTTTAAGTATTGCGCTTATAGTGTAATTGGTTAAGTTCATTTGTTTATTTTTCTTAATGATCTCTACGTAAATCCTTCGTTGGTGATAATCTGATTTGAGTGTCCACGGTGACCTTCCCTTAACTTTGTTGACTTAGTATTATGTATACTGTATACCACATTAGTCACGTGACACTGCTCATGCCGAAACGAAACCTTGGTGTTTTTATTTGAGCGGGCGGATGTAACTTTGGTGCTCGTGATGTCATCGCCGGAGTTGCCTTTAAGAACGTGGCCTAACCTTAAGTGTGAGCACCTCAGAAGCCAGCCTCTTGTCTCAACTTCAATCAATTTTTTTAATGTCTAAAATAATAATTGAAGCGTTTTTAAACGGTGAATTTGATCACTACATTGTGTATGTTAGTCATTTTGTGGTTCGTTTGTTATCATAGAGGGGGGGAGGGGGGTGCCACCTTTCTGTCGTCAGCTGTTTCGCACAAACGTTGCCTCTGATGACACCTTCAGTTGCTCCATCCTTCCTGACACTAATAGCGCTCCTCTGGTGACTAATGATAATTATCTGTTAGGTAATGAATTTGAATAAATACGTTTGGCGCCCTGGTTTGACTGTCCCAGTTTTGATATACGACCCCAGTTTTGACATATCCGTTTGTGAAATCTCCTACAGTAATTTATACGGCATATTGACCGCCAAGCTTGTCTAGCTAAGATATATCTATACCTTGGCTTAGACGTGCCTCTTAGATGCGTGTTCTCATCAGTATATAAGGAAATTTGGGTGCTGGTCCGACAGTGTTACTCTTACATTACCATGCACTCACAGTAACAAGACTCCAGTTTGTGATGTGGTTTAATTTTTCATATATTTTATATCCTTGTGTATGTTCTTATTGGATAAAGTCAAGTGAATGGGCGAGGTAGTGATGTGTTTGATCTCTGTCGGCCACTTTTTATTTTGTATTTCAGCTTACTAGCCGAATGACGGTTGATATGTTCTTTTTTACTTTACTGTGACCTTTATTGCCCAGTGTTAGTACAGAAGGAAACCGGAGTATCCAGAGGAAACTTGTGATGTTTGATAGTCTGCCTTGATCTCTTACCTCGCTACCTCACCTTTATTTTTCCTCTTACAATGTGTACCTATGAGCAGACTTTCTTTAACTTAACGAGTAATGGGTGACTGAGGATTAATCCTGCTGGAAGAGTGTAGTACGTCCCTGTTCGTTATGGAAGGGCACCCGGGAGAGACTTGACCAACTGAAAGTACAAAAAACGGAGGCGTACTAGTAACAAAAACGTAGGATGGAATTAGCGATGTATACTTTTGACGGAAGTTGGTAATTACTTACTGTAAGACACAACTTAGTTTTATAAAGATATAAGCGCTTCTAATATAAACTTAGTTATACCTTTTTAGAAGATAGTTTTGGTCACAAGTTAAAAAAAGATGAAAACATTTGGGAACTTGGGCAATTGCTGGGTATTCTTCAGGACATTGTAGCTCGTTAGAGAATAAAAGCTATTAATTCTACAATTTGCCAAAGCTCGATGAAACTGGGAGTAAATTAAGTTTGTTCGCGTTAATGTTACCGGTTGAAATGTACTGTGAGCGTAGAGAGCTCCAGTGTGGAGGTGAAGGTTGATAGTGGTGGCGGGTGAATGTGCCCGTGGCCGGGTGGGTCGTGGATGGCTGGCTGGGAGGCCTGACCCATTCCATTTCACCAGCCGACTTCATCCAATCACAAACTGTACGTGCACCAGCACCCTCACTGCCCCGCCATCACCCTTGTTAGCCTCACCAGATTGTTTGTGAATATAATTACTTGGCGTTATTAGCCATGGGTCGTAGAAACAGCAAAGAGAAAAATGGAAGAGACAGTCCAGATGATATAGAAGAACCACCTGTCACCCGAGGACCAGGTGCGTGATAGGGTTAACTCCTCGAGGAGTAAAGTGTTAATCATACCCATATGTGTGTGACTGACTTCTCACAGTCCTCCGAATTATTGTAAAATGTGTGGAAAATTGATGGTACAGTACTCAGTCCTGCAAGGCTTCCCATATGCTGTTGCACGAGATGCACCACAGCTGATTGTGATTTTGTATTTTGAATGAACACACGTACTGTAGCTGTATATGTTTTTATCGTGAATATATTGTATTTGTAAAATGGCTCCTATAAAGCAGCAGAAGTGTTGTTTGGATAAAAGTTAATTATTCTTGTGAAAAATGTGTTGGACAGTATTATTAAGATTTATAAAAATTAATAAATTTTTACACTCAAGCGATGTAGTTTAGTATGTATGTAAATATTGTTTAAATATTTTTGCATTGTAATTTTTGCAAATAGTTTTTACAGCTGTTTAATTTAATTGCACTTAGCATTGATTCATGATGAAGTAACTTATTCATTTAAGTCTAGTGTTTTGTATACAGTGTACCAGATCTATACAGTATATATTTTTTTTATCTATACAGTATTTTGACAGGAAACAATCCTGCATGCATAATGATCATCATAGTATTAAAATGGTTGTGCTTTGCAGTGGTTGACCTGATCTACTGGAAAGATGTCAAGAAGACTGGTGTGGTGTTTGGTGGATTCCTGGCACTGTTTATCTCCCTGGCCTACGTGTCCTTCATCTCTGTGCTGTCCTACACGTCGCTGACCGTCCTCTCTGTAACCATCATCTACCGAGTGTATAAGAACATCATGCAGGCGATTCAGAAGTCACAGGATGGACACCCATTCAAGTAAGCTTTATTGGATTTTCTTCCTAAGAGTGAGTGATGGGTGTAGTTACTCCTGGTGAATGTGCTTGTGAGATATATAGCTGTGATGTAACCTAATGAATTGTTTTACTCCAGTTATTGTTTTGTAATGTAGTTGAATATTGTTTAAATAAGTTTATAATTACCTGTTGTTGTAGTGTACTTGAGGTGATTACCACTTATAAGTATTCTATGTCCACAAGTTTTCTATGAACCAGAGTTCAAATCCCTTTGGAACCACTTGGGTTGTCTACCCTCTCAGAAATACTATATGTACTGTACCTCCAGGGCCACTGGGGAATAGAGCTGTAAATTTATCCACAACAATATGTTGGCAGATATTTACAGAAATTATACATTTATCCCTTATTTTATTAAAGTTCTTTGTACACAATGTTAAAGTAAAATATAAATTAGATGGCAAAAGACTTGATTTATAAATGCATATCCCCATTAAAAAAAAAAAAAAATAAATAAATAATAGTCCCCATCTCGCACCAAACAGTCTCCTTGGAGTTGTTTGAGATTGTTTACCTGTGCCTTATATTATCACTATCTCTGGTAAGTACAAAGTACAGTCAACAGTAGAAGTTTGTCCCAAACCAACCTTCATAATATGAGGCAGGTGATCTAGTATAATACTATGTGGGGAAAAGTTGACAGATATGCTTTAAATGGCTAGTTATTTAAGATTTATGATCAGATATTGCCCAAGAATACATTTCTTGCATACTCAGTGAAGCTTGATTAATATCAATGTGGGGAAAATGATGTTATTGAAAATTATGACATTCTTGCAGGATGATTCATAACTGGAGATGCAGATGAATATAATTATTCATACTGCTGATGTCAACAAGTATTTTTCATGCTTAATGGCACATTCATCTCGGCACAAAAACTGAAGCTGCAAGAAATCATTTGCATAATATGTCACATACAAAAAAATAATAATATATAGAGTACTGTACTGTATTGGCAGTGTACGTTTCTCCGCTATTACATTTCTCTTAATCCTGTCCTCCCTCCACCTCTTTCCACTCTGCCCTCAATCCGTTTGTTTTTAACTCCGTCACTACGAGATATCATTTCTAAGCTGAATAAAATTGTCTGTCATTAACCAGAATAACTGAAAGTCATCATCATACTAGTGTTAATAGACATTATTCATGACCATTTACTATCACAGATTCTAACCACAATTTACTACAATACTTACACAACTACTGTATATCCATCATTATGTCAGTGTTTAAAACACTACTCCTCCCCCTCCCCATTCCAATTGTCTATCTTCTTTCCCTTCTTTTGCTCCCAGGAACCGAGCAATAAAGTGAGTGAGGTCTTATTCATAGGATGTTTTCTTTAATGACGTTTGCTCTAATGACCATGACAGTCGATAGATATTAATTGTGAAAGCTGAACTAAACAACAATCCGTGCATCTCTAATGTCCTTTCTGTCACTACCTCCCTACCCTTCTCTACCCCACCATTCCTCTCTTCCTTCCCTAGGAAACTTATTCTCACACCAAATATGAAGTACAGTATTATCATAGAACCGTCTGCCCTCTGCCTAAATTTGAACTGAGTCATGGCTATATGCTATGTTGTCCATATGGATGGTCAACATGCTTCAACCTGTAAATACTGGACATTATTCCACGTGGTAGTTTGTAGTTCTTGCTTGTTATGGTTGTTGCAGGTATAATTTTAAAGATTAAATTTACCATCATAACCATAGTAAGTTACAAAAGCAACTTTAGGTAAAACTAATTCGGAGTTTCTCCTTTTATCCATTAAATTCATTGTAGTTCCCATACTGATAATGATATTTGTAGTTTCTACAGTAGTTGTGATATTTAATGATTTGAATATAAGAGAAATCGTTGCACTTTTGTGTATAAGTGACATCTTATGCAAGTGCTTTCTTACAGCTTCAGACTTACAGTAGTGCTGAAAATGATTTGTAATAAATGTTCCATTAAGCATGCAAAATACTCATTGACATCAGCAATACAAACAATCATATTCATCTGGATCTCCAGTTATGAATCATCCCGCAGCAATGTCATATATTTCTCAATAACATTATTTTCTCACATTTTACACATTGATACTAATTAAGTTTTGTACAAGAAATGTATTCTTGGTCAAACTCCATTCATAAATCTTAAATAACTAGCCTTTTAAAGCATATTTGTCAACTCCTCCCCAAATAGTATTACCAGATTAGTTCAGGATGAACTTCTGCTGTTGACTTTACAATGATTCGGTGGGTATTTTACTACTTTATGATTATAGTAGGGTAGTTTATAAAAAGTTTGAGAGATATTGAACTCAGCCAAGAAAGTGAACAAGGGTAGATGGGGAGGATCAGGTGATGGTCTGAATGGCATTTGATGCATCTGAAGTTTTGGGTAATTTAAAACAAATACACATCAAGGTATGAGCTGGATCAAATGCCACAGATATTTGTAAGCAGTGTAAGTGACTGTTAATACAGTAGGGTCGGGATATATAGCGACTTTATATGACGATTTTATATCGCAGCTACCAAAATTATTGACATTTTCCTATACAGTATATAGCGATATTTTTTTTATTTCGCTGGGGAAATCGTGCAGGAAATATTTCAAATTTATCACTACAACCAAAAGTATCAAAATTTTCCAATATATACAGAAGACTCGCAACTTACGCTAGGATTACGTTCCTTGGACCTCGTGTAAAGTCAGAAACACCTCTAAATCGCTCTAATTCACTATATGTATACCCGGTACATGTACATATACACTAGAACCCATAAATCAAGAGGTGATTAATTTTTATCTCTTGTGCATAATATATGACGTTTATATTCAAATTATTCGCTGTCTTGCAAGGATTCCAGCAATGTAATTTATATTCTGCTAACTTTAGTCTGTGACATTTTGTCAAGTTCAGTCACTTTTATTGGCCTCCAGAACCTAACCCTATTTTCCCCTTTTATTACATGTAATATTACATATTGCGATTTAGTATATAGCGAACATCCTTGGACCCTATCTCACGATATATCCTGACCCTACTGTAATGAGGAAGGAGAGAAAAACATCTGTGGTGTAATGGTCAGCAGGCTCGCCTCGCAAGCGAGCGGACCTGGATTTCATACCCGGGTAGGGCGAAACTATGAGCAAGTTTCTTGACGCCATTTGCCTCTGTCTACCCAGCAGTAATTGGGAACCTGGATGTTAATCGATTTGCGGATCGTATTTCGAGGTAATGGTTAGCCAGTGCAGTTGGCGAGTTGTACGGTCTTCTCGGACTATTCCTTGACACTGGGTCAAGCAGCTCGTTAACTTAGGGTGTGGTTGTCGTGTTGGCGACAGTTTCTACACTTTAAACAAATTCACACCTAGGTGGCCCTTGGGCCAGAGGTTAAGCAACATAGCATACAATTTTCCAAGTTGAAGTTATATGGTAATGGTAATAATTTTATATAAATACCATTGACCAGAAAGCTGCTTCACAGACATGTGTGCTTCCAAATTGTACCAGAATTTTGGTAGCTCGATTTTTAACCACTGAATGGGGGATAATGACTAGAGGTATTGGGATGATATGGAAGAGTGGGGTTACTGCTTGCTAATTCATTCCATCACACAAAATGTAGGAATAGGGGAAAATGTACGGTAATAACTGGAATAATAGAGGAAATGTGTGAGATATGGGTTACTTGCTACCCGTGACTCACTATTTAACACATTTGTGTTCGAGATTCCGTTCCATACAGTTGGGTTTATACTAATTTAGTTTCACTTGTTTATAATTGTCCAATGGATGTTTCAACTTCGTTGACAAAGTGCTCTTTAAGAATTTTTTTTCTTTTATAAAAAAAAATCTGATTTACTTGATTTAAATCAGATTGTATTAACCAGAACCCCCCTAAAATATTATTGCACCGTGATAGTCACCATCCAGTCCAAAATGAGTATACAGTATTACATCATCAAAGTCCTAGGAGTATTGCATCATCCACGAATGCACACATTGCTCATTGTTATGATAATGAAGATGCACAAGTCAGAAATTGTTGTGCATTGTAACAAATGCATTTTTATATGTATTAAATATGTTTTATCCAAAAGTATTGTCATTCAGTTGGTTTTGCTTTATTTTTTATATGCAAATTGGGAAGTAGTTATTAGTGATTTTAATATTTACCTACAACTCCTATTTGTATGGAGCATAAGGACTATCCATGGGAACATGTAGGCTAAGGTAAAAAAAGTGACGATACTCCTCTGAAATTTGTTTGTTTCAGTTACAAAGCAAATATTGTAACTTTTGTTGTGAGAACACTGAATAGTGAACATTACAAAAGTGGACGTATCTTTTGGTTAATTATATAGACTTCTGTGTTGAGAGTACATTCTGTTTTTTGTGTCCGATTAACAATACAGTACAGTAGGCTATGTAAGCAGTTTTGTTGATTTTTTTCTTCCTTCCCTTTATATTTACATGTAAAAATCGAATTATGATTTAAAAAAAATATTTTCATTTAAATGGATGATTTAAATCAAACAACCCTGTAAGGAATTATGCCAACAGTACACATACAAGTCTGCCATCCACCAAGTACAGACATGCACACTATCCTTCTTGTTCCACTTCCCAAACCAGACTGTCATTTTTGAAAAGTGCACATCTTGCTGTGCATAGGGGGTACACGACAGGTTCAATCAATGAACTCTTTAAGTGCACACTCACGCTCTTGGGCTGGCTTGGCATGAAATCATTGTCTACAAGCTTAATCTACACAATACTGTACGGTACTCTAAAAACATGATATTATTACAATACAATATTGTACTGAATTGATAAAAATCTTAAAAAAATTACATTAATAGCTACCATAAAAAAGTTTTTTCCCATTAAAATGTGCAATATCACCAATTCGTGTTTCATTCATTCTTTTATTAAAAATTTTATTAGGTGCACTGGTTTCATTTAACCATGTAGAAAATACCATTGGTAAATGCATAGATATTAACTTTGTAAATTATATCTTTTCAGGAACCTCCTGGAATTGGATACTGACCTGCCCCTAGAGAAAGTACACGATGCCTCTGATGCCTTTGTGAACTGGTGGAACCCCAAATTTACTGAAGTCAAGCGACTTTTCCTTGTTGAAGATCTTGTTGACTCTGTCAAAGTAAGTATGACGCACTTGCTAATATTTTAGTGTCATATAATTAAGGTTTGCATGTAAAATTAACTAAAAGAATGATGTATAGGGTACAAAATATTTTTGGTGCAATGTGATTTTAATTCTTATGCACCTCACACATGTACTGGAATGTAATAACAGGCTTTCCCCTTGTACTCCAGTTTCCTTCTGTACTAATACTGGACAATGAAGGTCATGAAAAACAAACTGACCACTCAAATGGCTATTAAGATGACAAATGGTAGAAGTGAAAAGTTAAAAATTAAAATGTCACAGCATTTGCTCAAATACCCCCACTGATATCCAGTTTGGTTTTTGTTCCAGCAGTTCTATAGCAGACTTGCTAGTTAATTTAAATTTGTTGCCCATGACATTTCTGAAGCTCTGTCAAGATGTAACCTCAAACTCATTGCTATACAGTATTGCCTTTGGTCTTCCTGTACAGTTATGGACATTTTTCACTTTTGTTACTTTACCATTAGTGCTAGACATCAAGACACAGGTCTTGCTATGCCTACTCTTTTGTGATGACCTCTGCAGTACTTCCAACAGTACACATTTCTTTGCTGATAACACACTCCTGCAAATGATTATCTTACCACTTTATTCCCCTCACTCATTCAAGTCTTGATAGATAGCCCAAATAGTACAACTCCAATATCTGTTTTTCTTGGAACATGAAAATTTACATTCTCCTTCTCATTAACCACTCCCATTACAACAGCCACCACTTAATACCGAAAATCTATGGGAAAAAATACTGTAATAACTTCTCTTGGAATAACTTTATATCTAACACTGCAAAGAGTGCATCCAAAAAAGAACATTTCGTATTTTTGCCTTGTCCAAAATATCACCAAACTTCAAAAAAACTGTTTTCTTTTACAGCAGCACTCAATTTTATGATCTTACAAAAAGCAGGGTTGGCAAAACCCTTTTTGTGTGTGTGGGGGGGTTAAATGGTATTATGTTGGTGTTAATAAGTTTCAAGTATTTTTACCCTTTTTTAAAACTGTTTAATATGCAATTAATCAAAGACTTTACATTCATAATTATTTAGCAATCATTTATACCCTTTTCCATGTTAAAAAATCACTGAAAAGGCCAGATTTGGAAAACAAGCTTTGATTGGTCATCCAGACTAGTCCTACATCCTTAAAGGCAAAAACAAAATTTAAGTTCATCTTGATGCATGAATAAAAATGCAATTCTACTTTTACAGTTGAAAGTTTTAAATAATTCATTTTAGTGCAGAGCAATAGAATCAGAGGCTCAGAGCCCTACCATAAACAGAAGCAGTCACCACTCACACAGTTATACTGAACAGTTGCAACTTGGCTTCCTTACATCAGGATTTGAGATGTTTACAGTCCTATAAGAAAGTTTATTATCACCACTTTCACCAGTATATAATAGGTCACATCCATGTCTATATTGAACAACCACAGGACATGACACATCCCTGTCTAACACCTATGTTTATTTCAAATGTTACACATTCTTAACCATTTACTCTTACCCTTCTGCTCATATAGAATGCTTTTACTGCATGTAACAGCCTTCCTCCTACCTCATACACATGTAATACCTCCAACAATTCTTTTCTGTTCACCTATTTCATACTCCTTTTTTAATCTACTACAGTATAACTAAATCATCAAAACCATCTGTAAATAATATATATATTTTTTATTGTTAAAACCAAGAAAAAAGTGTAGATTAATTTCTTTTTGGCCTGGTTCAAAAGCCATTTTCTTATTTAACATAGACTTCCACACTTCCCCCTTTTTTTATTCCGTTGTCTGGCAATTAGTTTCTTGCTTTTATTTTTTACCACTATGACCATGGTGAATGTGCCACTGTTATTAAATTTATTATCCTATTCACTCTTGGGTCCATCTGACACCATTCATTATTATTTTATGTAACTTACATTATTTTTAAATCCAACTTTGCACTTCTCATTTATAGAATAACCTACTGACCTCATTTTCCATCCACACAGTTTTCAAATCTGTAATTGTATGGCAAACATTCACTGTTGATTACAGTTAAATATTGCATCTCAATCTTTCTTATCCATGATGCAGGCTTAGCTTAAATAAAGGTCACTTTTCCAAAGTTACAGTGGTCTTTACTGGACACCTTTTATGTATGCCTCCTTCACATCATTATAATTTGAAAAAAGTGAATCATGCAGGCAGAGTTTTCCAACCCATTCTCATTCTTCTATGCCTTGTGTTACAGATTGATATTTTAATTAAAAATTAAATAAAAAATTACAATTCATATACCTGTACTGGTAAATACAGTACATACAGTGATATCTCCATTAGCTGGAACAATTGGTGCAGAGCACTTCCGGGAATGAGAGATTTCTGGGTAATGAGATGACTTTTCAAAGCTGGAAAAAAAAATCCTCATCCCCAGAATTTTCCAGGTACCGGAAAAATTTTCTTGGAATTTCCAGGAAATGCACCCGATTTTAATCTCTCAAACCTTGAAGAAAACTCCCCCATCCCCGGAATTTTCTGGGTATTGGGAAAAATTTCTCGGAATTTTCCAGAAAATCGTTCCCAAAGCACTAATTTTCAAAAAAAAATCCAGCTTTGGGAATGATTTTCCGAGAAAATTCCAATTCTGGCTATCGGAGAGTTCCGGGTTTGAGGGATTCCGGCTAACGGAGATATTACTTATATACGTACTAACAAGGGTGTGGTGAAATTTTTTCACTGGCTGCTAAAAGCCACTGTTGGAAAAACATCCAACAGTCTCATAAAAAAGCATGTACAGTATTGTATTGACAAAACACCAAATGTATTATTCATGTAAAATTTATCGAAGTAAAGTTTTATAATTAGAACTCGGCACAATATTTTCACCGTTTTGCAGAGTATTTTGTAATTTTGTCGAGTATTTGATGGTACCAGTATTCAATGAATTTCTTTCAGTTACCCAATTTATTTTTTTCTTGAATTTAAATGTATAAATAGAATGAGAATTTGGGCAATGGAAGTACAGTTGGAGACTTGGTGATAATTGGAACAGTTGAGCTGACATGACTATGTACAGGTATAACATTGATTCTGGCTGCAAGAGGAAGAAGCAAATGAAAAGTGAGAGAAACCATGTGCTTTAGAGTAATATGTTGGATGAATAATAAATTAAAAGAATAAGTAATACAGAAATTAAACATGCTATTATGAGTGTGTTATACACACACACAGAACTGATTGGGACTCAGTAAGTTGACATAGACATGAAGGAATAAGCAGTGAAATATTGGCAAAAAGTTTGTGTAATACAGAAGTGGATGGTAGGAGGGAGAGGAAGATCAATAAGATGGAAAGATGGGTTGGACACACTAAGAGGTGAGTTGGTTGGACATCCTGGAAGCAGCAGTTTGTATTATTGTTAGGGGAGTAGTTTATTGAAAAGTTGACGCAAAAAAAAAACCAATGTTTTTGTTCGATTATGGATACCTTACAGCATAGCAGGAAATGGTTTGCAATAGAAAGTGTTAATTTGTACTTTAAATTTTATTTACTGTGGTGTGGTAGAGCTATTTGAACCACAGAGAGAATAATTATTCATGAGAAAAATACCCTTGTTAAATATATTGTACAGTATGATGTTTATTTATTAATTTTTTCATGCTTTCTTGGTGTAGTGTAGTAATCACTAAATTATTTGCAGTTTGGCTGCCTCCTGTGGTGTCTGACTTATGTTGGGTCTTGGTTCAATGGACTGACTTTGGTCACCCTGGCTACAGTTGCACTCTTCACCCTCCCCAAGGTGTATGAACAGAACAAGACCCAGGTTGATCAATATATGGGCCTTGTCAAGAACCAGGTCAACGATGTCATGTCCAAGTAAGGATCTGTTTAGATGTACAGTATATATTTTAAAATGTGTTACAGGTTTTATATATTTTAACCAGTAAATTATTTGTAATTTTTATTATTGGACGGACATACATTACAGTATACAGTATTCATATTCTTAGGATAATCTGATGATGAATAATTGTTTTATTGATATAAATATCCATACACTTGGCTATTGAATTTATTTTGGATGAACGGTGAGAGTGCGAGTTTTTTGGCTTATTAAATCCGTGACCCGAGTTACGGGAGAAGCTATACTGTGTGTCATACAATGGAATTCAATATTTAAAGTTTGTAAATAACATGCAATTCTCAATGGTCATTGCTGTGAGATGTATGCCTGTATGATGCCAAATTGTACTTATTGTTTGAAAAAAAAATTTGACTCCTATTTGATATTGTGTGTATGTGATGGGATTTTAAATCATGTTCCTGAGACTGGTTCATATGAGATAGCAGTGTCATATCACTCCCACATTGGAAATTCAAACCCACTCTTCATAAAAAAAATACTGGCTGCATATGTCATTGAAATCCAATCACAATAGGGTGTACCATTTAAAACGCATCCTGAACAGCTGATGCACTGCTTGAAATTAATATGGCCGCAATTTCAGCAATTTTGTCAAGCGATGAACACTTTGCCGAGACAATTTTTTAAAAGAATTCTTTGGTGATTGCTGCAGTGTTTCTTGAATTTTGAGCAGTGCACAATCTGTCAAAACTGATTGGCACCAGGCATGTTTCCTTTCACAAACACTACCTGTACCTCAAAGAAATTTTTATGCCAGCCTTTATAATGTTGTGTTATTTGACACTTGTCTCTTGGGATAAGCATTAATGAAATGCTTCACACAGCAGCAAACAATTTGGATGCAAATTAATGTTTGATAATTAACACACATTCAGCCTGTGAACACACCATCCTCTCGTTCTGATTGCTATAACTCGACTGAAGTTGAACCTATAACTTTGTTTTTATTTATTTATATACTGTACAGTAGTATTTATATTTTAATGAGTATCACGGAGAAGGTTGGGAGAGCATGTGGCCCATACAGTTAGCATGGTGTACAATTGACAGACCTCTATGATGCTAAATGTTATGTGGACTAGTGGGTTAAGTTTGTAGTTAGTACAAACTGTGAATGTAAAACACAATTACAATTAAGTTTCAACCAATGATTGTAAAAGTACAATTAATCATTTGAATGTTTGGCTGATTGTCTGCCCATTTATCAAATACTCCTGTAATTGACTGTAAAAGAGCATAGTACAGTACCTGTTTGAGGCCACCAAGCTCAACTACTGACATATTCTTTGATGATTTTTCATAAATTCATTTGTGGTTAATGTAGCAGACAAGAAGTTTTAGAAAGGGCTTCATATGTAAGTAATTAAAGGAAACTGCTATTGTTGAGTAAATGGGAAAGAATTTGGCAGTGAAGATATTGAATACAGTTTTCAGTTTACAGACATTTTGTAAGTGTCGAATATGACCATAGTTACAATACAAGGAAATTGTGGAAAATTATTAAAAGGAAGCAGTCGAGATGATATTTAAGGAAAGATAATGGATACAAGTGATTGTTCATTTGACAAGGGTGAAAATTGATACAAAGCAAAAGTTTTCATATTTGTAATTTCCAAATCTGCTGAAAGTACAGGCAAGTAGGTTTTATTATTTTAGTATCCTGCCATACTGTACAAGTATATTAAAAGGTATATTTTTATCTTCTAGGGTAAAGGCTGCTCTCCCAATTGGAAATAAGGAAAAGACCCAGTAAGAATGAAGTATCATTGTGTGATATCCTGAGTGCATCTGTGTTCGTGTGCTACATCGAACCACTGGTGCGTTGCAGCATCTGCACCAACTTCGACATCTGCGTATTCTCGTCAGTGTGCGAAGAGTGATTCCAGTGGAGAACCAACCTAGTGTTGTGGCCAAGCGTGCACTACTCCCTTCCTTCACAGTGTATTTTGTGCTGGGAATGTACTATATTGCTCCGATTGGTATTTTGATAGTACGTGAAAATTGTTATCCTGCTAAAGTTTTATAATATTTATGATTGGCAGCAAATATACTATTATATTATAATGGAACCCAGCAATCTATTCTTGTGAGGTTTAGGGAGAATAAAGACTATTTTGTGAATGAAGAGGTACACTTTGAATGAAATTGGCACTTCCAGCTGATATTACTAGTGCTAGTGAGAAGATGCTCAGTTGATGCTATTGTGCCTCTGGTCACCCTAATTCTGATTCTCACCTTTGCTTGCTTGTCTTGGTCTGAAGATTGTGCTTAGCATTGAGGGCATATAACAAGTACATGGTCTCTTGTGTACATAGATGCCATGGATAATTCCAGAAATGCTGTCACACCCATACAACTCAACCAAGGGTGAGGAACAGTGCAAGATACACCACTCCACTGTATAGTCATTGCATTACTGTTCTCTGTAGAATCATTTTCCTCCCTTAATTTTAACATTAGAACTGTGAAAGGCGTATCAATGCAATCGTGTTATAAGTTGATTTAGTTTGTTCTAACATGCTTGAAAATGACTGTCTTACAGTTAATGTAGAAAATTGCCAAATAGTGCAAAAGATCTGTTGTCATTTGTCAGTCTTCTAAGATCTGTCCTCATAATTTATAATCTTCAAGCTTTCTGATTTTTATATAGAAATTGATATCTATTGTACCCACTTGCATATACTTTTATAAATGATATGCAAATAGTGTTTTGATTTTTATATATAATCACCTCCATAACTCTATGTATGGGAAACCTGCTTCCATTTTGATGGGTGTTCTCTTGTGTCTGAAGTGGGAATTTTTTCCTCAAAACTTTCATAGTGCTGTTGCTTGCCACAGTTGTTTACTAAGAGCTTCTGTATACCTCTTCAATGTCATCATAAATATGCAAGTAAGGATTCGGAGCTAATATAGACTTTCAAGGTTTCATTATTGTACTGGATTCTTAAGCTCTGGTTTATTCATGAATCCCTACTTGAGTGAAATATTTAGCTGAACACAATTGTGGAGATGCAAACAAGCGAAGATTTTATTTATATTTGGGTAATGGGTCGGAAAACAATGTAAAAATAAAGAAAAAATATATCAATTGAAAAGGTTTTCTAAATACCTGTAAGTGTTCTTTCATATTGCATACATTACTGTCACAAACAACAGTAAATTTGCTGTACTACCAAATAAAATATCAATGATTTAGATAACTTTTCTTTACTCAGTCAATTACTACTGATTTTTTTTTAATTTAACAAACCTACAGTAAGATCAATATTTAATGTGCACATTAAAATTTTAAATGCAGACTTGAAATTGGAACTACATAATAAACATTATCTGTACAGTGCAGATACGAGGGAAAAAAAGAGGAAGAAAATGGCATAAAATACCTGTACGGAAAATTTAAGAAGTACTCGACTGAAGTAAAACTAGGGTGTACAGCACCATGGAAAATGCATACCAGTTACTCAAATTTGCGGCAAAATTAAATTTTAAATGCATGTTCTCATCATCTTCCTAGCTTGGTACCATAGTTAGCTCACAAAGACTCATGTTTGTGTTAAAGGATACCCATGTTGAAATTCGAAAGAATTCCCTGGTGTGAAATTTTTAAACACTAATCACATTGCTTATGATAGAAAGGTGACCAATTTGACATCACTCATCTAACTTGGTATGTGCTTGTATCCCACTGTCTTTCCTTTAGAAATAGTATGTGTGTGATTGTAAATGATTTATGTCTCGGAGCAGCTCCTGGCTACACTGACACTTTTTTTCTTTGGAGTAGATAATGTTCAAAATCTCAATATAGGTCCTAAATGTGCTGTGCTGATTAAAGTTCTGGGATGAAACCTTTTTAAGTCTTGTAAATAATCTTGATAATAACCCTTAAAGTAATTGCAACTCCTAATTACTTGCTTCTCATAACGCTTGAATATTGTATTTTTGCAGAATGTTAAAAGCAGGCTACTTAACCAATTTTTTTATACAAATGCTAAATACTCACTTTTTATAAGTGCTGGATGCTGTTTTGTCACATTTGGCTGTTAGTATTGAGCTACTAAACTTATATCCATCATTCCCACTATATAAAAAAAAAAAAAAAAGTGTGACCTAATAATTATTTTCATGTTACCTCCCCCCAAATCTTATTGATTAAGGATAAAAGGGTTAAATGTTGTAAATTTGGTAAGCAGTTGTGTTTATGACCTTTGAACTAATTTTTTTACCTATTTTCTAATCATCTTGATTCACATTGTTGTAAGTACTGTACTGTATGGATTGCTATTTTTTCTCATTTCTACACACAAATTTGGCCTTAAAAATGCCTGACCTTATCATTTTTCAATTTACTGTACTAAGTAAACCATGTACTATAATTAACCACTTAATTGTGTTTTAAATTTTTAAACAAAATTAGTTGAAACAGTAGAAAGAAAACATAAACAAACATGTACAGTCGAAGAAAAATGTCATTTTACACTTCCCATGTTCTGAAACCTATGATGAAGAATTTGGGTAAAGTTTCCTGTTCACTCGGACCTTCACTGTCTATTTACCCAATTCTTCGTCGTGGGTTTCAGAACATACTCTGGGGGGGGTTAACATTTTTTTTCCCCTTTCTTTTCACATTAGATACCTAGCAAACAAGATTATCAATAGATGTTTCCATCCCACAGAGGACATAAAATATGGATAAAGTCTTATTTGCCTCACCCCCAGATGCATTAAATGAAAGAAAAGATTCAAATACACATTTATGAGGACTTGCCCCTAAATTGCTTAATCAATGACTGACCAATGAAGTTTACTTCAAAGAACAAAGCTATAACTCCAAACTGATCAGAAAAGATAATGAAACCTCGAAGTTTCTGAATATCAAATGTAATGAGAGCATTGACCAGTGTTAGTCAAGGCAGATCATGGAGCTGTACTAGTGCCTGCAAGCAACACAACCTATCACTGACTGCAAAATATCAATGACAACTCAGATCTTCATGTATGATTAGTCATTTGAAAATGAATCTTCGCCCAAAATTACCCAGCCAGCTTGAAAATAACTACTGTAGTACCTATATATTACAAAGTATTGTCTTGAGTAGCAGCCAGTACTTATGTCCAGCTTTCATATTCATTGACTAACAGTAATTGATCACAGGTACAGTCCCCCAAAAAAGGTATTGTTACCCATGTAGTTTGTGGTTTGTGAGCAGTGTCAGTCCACTAGTTTTGGAAAGGTTGGTACAGTAGATCACAGGTATTGGTATTCACCATTATTCTGTGGACTCAGACAGATTGTCATATTGTTATAGTACATTTATCAAAAGAAGCAAAGGCGTACAACAATTATGTTAGGAAAATACAAATTACGACAATGGCAGCAGGCAGTAACAAACAGCTGATTGTACTATTTAAATAGAATTTAACACTTGCCTGATATGATGGAGGAAATTGTTTATAAAGGCTACTTAACCCTCTTGTGTATGGGCTCCCCTCCGAGCTGAATAAAATCATCTGATATCCGATTTTTTTTTCGAGCTTCATTACATACACTGCTCAAATCAATTTCATTCCACTTATGGCACAGAATACACTTAATACTGATATATCATAATTTTACTAGATTAAGTATGTTTGTGTAATGAATAAAGGTATGACAGGCGTCATGGCGATGCCGAACAGACGGTAGTGATTGCTTACCTTTCTGATTCTTCAGTGAACATCTTATGCATTTCATACAGAAAATGATTACAAATATTTCTTAAAACTACCTGCAGGCTATATGCATCTATATGCTGTAAATAAAATATAAATTAATTTTGTGCATAGACTTGGGGTGAGCATTATACAGGATATAAGAGTGGGGTCTCATTTTGTGTGGGTATATTGTACTGGTACACGTTAGTGAATCGGAAATCTGCTCAAGCGATGCCCTTTAACGTGTTAAAATCTAGAACGACTTTGGGTAACCAACTTAACCTTCCAAAAATGACAAATAATATTGCATAAATTGCTTCTACATTATTAAATAAATATTTTAAGAAATCCAAGGAAGTTAATTATGCAATAATTAACCTTCTCCACCGAATAGTGGAGGTGTGGGAAACGATGGGGGTCCGAGGTAAGGGGTGAAGGCTAGTTGGATTCAAAGCCTTCAAAATCAACAGCAGACACTTGTAAAGCAACTTCAGCTTCAACACCAATCTCCAGAGTGGCAGATTTCATCATTACTGGTTTCTCCTTGAATTGTTGGTGTGTACAATAGGCAGTAATGAGAGCTTGGCAGTGGCATTTAAACTTCTGATAAAGTTGCCTGTAGGGTTCCACCAAACTGTGCTCTTGAGTTTGTCACTGTTACAGGCTGGACTCGGCACTCATTCAAGCTGCAGTTATACTAGAGCAGGGGTGTCAAACATGAGGCCTGCGGCTCACTGGTTGCTCCAGCTACTCCTTGAGCAGCTAAGAGCCTAAGACAGTAGCACTTGAAGTAAAAAGTTAAGACTATTTGTATCAGATAATACTCTTTGAGTCTATTGACTATATATTCTATTGAGTCTGTTCAAAGGCAAGTGCTTGTAGGATGTTTTGTGAATCTCAGTCCAGTAATGTATCTGGTGCTAGAGCGACGGCCTGCTAAATACATTATTAGCCCTTTGACTAGTTGGGGTTTCCCTCAGCTGAATAAAATAATCTGGTGTTTGCTAGAATAAAATACTCCGAGCAACAGCACCGATGAAAGAGCAATTAGAGATAGTTTTAATGGTTAATTGTGACTCTAAGCATGCCACTGTACAAATTGAGATGAGCCGACCACTGGCCGTGTACAGTGGGGTATGCTATAACGAACGGATCCTACTACGAATATTCCTATAACGAACGGTTTTACCTATAAAATTGAGAATGCTATAACGAACGCAACTCCTACAACGAACGCGGATGAATACCGGACTATTTCGCCTGGCGCATGAATATTGTTGTACTGCGACCCACAACAAGAGCGTCAGGCACCATCTTTGTCTCATTGTGTAGCCAGTGCACCACTGTTATTGTTGAAATTTCGTCTTTTGATGTGGAAATTCGCGTTATTTGTATAACTATTTTGTTATACAAGTATACAATTGTAACAATGAGTCGTCCAAAGCGAGTGAGAAAGCTAATAACCCTTGAAACTAAGAAAGAAATTATAAAGAAACGTGAGAATGGAAGAAGCATTGCGAAACTTAGTGATGAATATGGGATGGCTAAATCGACTATATGTACGATTTTGAAAAATAAAGAGGAGTTACAAACTGTGCAAGTGGCTAAGGGAATCTTTAGACTTAGCAAAGCAAGGTGTAATGTGATTGAAGAGATGGAAAATTTACTCTTAGTGTGGATAAAGGAGAAAGAAATGGCAGGAGGTAACATTAGTGAAGCTATAATTTGTGAGAAGGCTAAACAATTGTTTGAGGACCTTAAAGCCAAGACTCCCAGTGGAAGTGATAGTGATGTGCCAGTGTTTAGGGGTACCTGCATGCTGAATAACACTAAGGTAAGATAAAGTACCGTATTTTTTACATTTTCCACAGAATTTTTTCAGTGTTAAGCGGTTGTATTTGGGGGCCTGGAACGGATTAATCCTATAACGAACGAATGCTATAACGAACGAGGTTCTGGAACCAATTACGTTCGTTATAGCATACCCCACTGTACCAGTCTTAGACGTGATTGCTCTGGTGCAGCTGGCTCTCGCTTGGACAGTCACACGGGTACTAGTCCTGCATAGTCGATCAAGGTAGTTGGAGCATTGCAAAAATCGGATGCAGTGTACATTGTTTTTACTTTTGAGCCCATAATCGTGTTATAAAAAAAAGAAAAAAAGACGAGCGTCGGGTGGCACAGTACAGGAAAGTAGAAAATCTGGTACGTTTTTGTTGAAATGAATGGAAAACCGACATGTTTGATTTGTAAGCAACAGGTAGCTGTTGCCAAAGATTACAACGTTCGAAGGCTTTATGACACTACCCATTAGGGTGTGTCATACGGAGGCGAATTTTTTTTTTTTGAGTTTGAAAAATCGGCCCATGGTATTAATGATGTAGTTCTATGTGCAGAATCATGTGATATCTTCAGATTTGAAAAGTTTTCATTTTTTGCTAGGTAAATTTTAACTTGAAATCTTATGAAAATTCAGTATTCCCACCCTTTCTACCAACACTACT